GTTCACGATACGAGGGATGGTTCCGTATCCGCTAATCAATGGCTCACGACGACGGAGAGCTCGTCTAGATGTGGAACTTTTGGGTCTAGATGTGGAACCAAGGGTTGAACCCAAGGCCTTGATTCCAGCTCGTCGGAGGCGGCATGTGGCGTCATGCCCCGAAACACGCCGCGTTGCGTCAGTGCCTTGGCGATCTGTGGGTTCGGAAGTGGCCGTGGAGCCGCGGCGTAGCGGCGACGCGCCCTGAGCCGAAGGCGGGCTGCCAGAGGCATCTGCGGGGCTGCCACGGGCTGTACCAGACCTCCGGGCAGCCCCAGCGACTTCGCCGGCGAGCGTGCCGGCGTGCGCGGCGTGTACTAGGATGGTGTTGGCGGGAGGGCAGGCGCCGGAGAGCGACGGCGCGACGCCGAGCACCACGGTCGGCGGCGCGGAGGCCGCGGCGACTCAGTCCGCGGCGGCCGCCGCGGAGGCCCTGGCGACGCGCGCGAGTGCAAGAGCTCCGGCCGCGCCAGCCGCGCCGCGCCGCATGGACGCCGCGCCGTGCCGCGCGTAGGGCTTCGCGCCAGCCCTGCGACTCGCCGGCGCATCATCCCGCGCTCCGCTGTCGCGCCGCGCCAAAGCTTGTCGCGCCGACGACCCGTCGACGCTCGAGGGCACCGGCTGGCGCGGCTCGTGGGCCAGTCGAGCTGCGCGGCTCGCGCCGCTTCGCGCTTCGCGCCAGCCCCGCCGCTCGACTGGCGCTCGCACGAGCTCCGGCCGCGTTGGCCGCGGCGCCGCGGCGCAGGGCACCGGCTGGCGCGGCGTGTGGGCCAGTCGAGCTGCGCGGCTCGCGCCGCTTCGCGATTCGCGCCACGCCGCTCGACTGGCGCTCGCACGAGCTCCGGCCGCGTTGGCCGCGGCGCCGCGGCGCATGGGCCAGGCGCGCCGCGCGCCGCGGTCGCTTCGCGCCCGGCCCGGCCAGCCTGAGCCCCACCTCCCAATTGACTCGGAGCCGCCCCCGGCATGCCGCCCCGGCGCGCGGCGCGGCCCGGGTAACATGGGCTTGTTGTTCGTCGTCTGGGCCTGCCTAAACCGGGTCGCGGCGCTCCGCGCCGTGACGCGTCTTGACGCCCCGGGCCCTGCAAAAAGGTTTGCTGCCCCGGCAAGCCCTCACAATACCCGTCTTGTGCGGCGTGCCGCCGCTTCGCGGCGGCCGATTTTTTTTTGTACGCTCCCCCGTATCCCGCCGGGCTAAAAACTATCAAAAGCAACACCTCAGGAGCTGCATCGTTGCGATTATTGAAGCAATTACACACTGGTTGCGAGTTGCAGTGGATACCCCGTCGCTTGAACTTTTGCAAGCCAAGACAAACTTTGAAGAAATCCTAGCTTCTAGAGGGCTAGAGACCGTGTCTCCGCAGGAGTATTTCAGCGGCCGATGATGGAATCTCCACCTTAGAGGGCCCCGCGCTCCTCGAATATGCAGCGACGTGAAACGATCCCAGTGGCTTTGAGGTCCGCAAACATGCGGGTGAGGCACATGAAAAGACGCGACATCCGGACGATTGCGAGGCGACGCAAACGGGCAGCCTCAGGGGGTGGAATGAGGCGCGGCAGCTTCCCCCGACCCGATTTTCGGTCCCCTTCGAGTCACAGAGCGTCGGGAATCGTTCGTCATGGGGGCGACCAGATGCCCTCGCGGCAGCTCTTCGACTCGAGCCGATTTGATCGAGATTACCTCACCGGCTCCGAGAGGCGCGCGGCGCCGCGGGCGACACGGTGCTCACCGCGCAATGCACGAGGCGAGCTGTCTGGCGGAAATTCGAAGGTGGTCTCTGGCAGGGCATGCCGGGGGCGCATGCAAAAGTCCGCCAGACAGCTCGGACCTCAGCACTAATGCGAGCCCCTCGTCGGTCGCCCCCCACCGTTAACCGCCGTTCTCGTCGTCCACGGGCTGCCCCGACGCGAACTAAGTTGCTCCCCATCGACCGATGGTTTTTCCCGAGCGACTCGCAGCCGGGCCCAAGGCGCGACATGGTCCACAGACCGAGCGCCGCGCCAAGTCCTGGAACCGCTGCATCGCGTGCCCAAACCTGGGCGAGGCGGCCAGGATCAACCAAGTGATGTCACGCCGAGCGTCAACATGGCAGAGTATCGACTGCAACTCGCAACCAGTGACACGCGATGGACGCGCTCCGAGCGTGGCCGAGTCCGCAGTGGTGAAGGTGTCTCTCTGCAGTAGGTGATTGCGTGGGACGGGTTCTTCGGGCCATTGAGGCGGATTCAGCACATTTCCTACTGCAGCGGCCGACGCCGTGAAGTCGGCGTTCCGGGCCTCCATGGGGACGACGAAACGGCCGAGATCGGCACCGCGGGGTGGCCCTCCACCGCTGGAGATGTACTCGATCCCACCGGACACATACTGGGGACGGGGCTCGGGCGGTGGTGTCGGCCCAGACCGCGTTTCTGGACGTGGGGGCCGCTCGGGCTGCCGCGCCACGTTTCTATGCGCGAGTTGGCGGTCGATGTTTTCGACGTCGATGGCCGAGCGGATCAAATGGGACGCCCGCGGTACATAGACGAACGATTCCCGATGCTCCGTGCGCTCGAACACGGTCGAAAAGGGTGCGGGGGACGCCGAAAACCCTCTTCCGACCCCTTGGGACGCCCCGCGCGCGATGCGACGCAATCCTCGGGAGTGACATCCCGCGGGGAATGTGTCCGCGACAGGGTTCCGGTCCTCGCAGCCGCGGGGATCGTTGCGCAACTCTGCGCCTGCGTCGAGCTACGGGCTGGAGAAGACGAGAACTTCGTCCATCGACGCTGCAAAAGGGCTGCTCGCAGCCTGATTGTTTGAGTTGCTTTTTCGAGGAATCGGTCGAGTTGCTTTTTTTAGTTTTTAGCCCGGCGGGTATCGTGCACAAGCCTTGAAGCCTGCGGCGAGACGATAGATGTCTTGCCGCTTGCTGCTCAACGTCGCCGCCCTCCTCGTCGTCGCGGAGGCGTACGTCGTCGCGCCGCGCCGCGCCGTGCGGCGCTGCGCGCATTTGCGCGCGAACGCGCCGGACGCGGCGCCGGCGCGCGTCGGGCGGCTCCGGCGGCTCTACCGCTGGCTCCGGCCGTCCGCGGCCGGCGCGCCGCCGCTGAGCGGCGACGAGGTCGTGGGCCTCGTCGTCCTCGGCATGCCGCGCGCGGACGCCGAGGCGCTGCCGCCGGCGGAGGCGCGGCGACTCCTCGCGGACGCCGGCTGGCGCGCGGCGGGCGCCGAGGCCGCGGAGCCGGCGGAGCGGCGACCGCCGGACTCGAAGACGACCCACGGGAATCCGTTCTCCGGCCGCAACGGCTTCGCGGAGATCGGCGTCTGCATGTGCGAACACGACGGCGGCGACGCCGCCGCGCCCGCCGATCCGGCGCCCGCCGCCGCCGCGCCCGCGCGGGAGCCCGCGGACGCGCTCGCGCCCGAGGAGCTCGTGCAGCTCGTCGTGCTCCTGGGCGTGTCGCGCGCCGAGGCCGCGGCGATGCCGCCGGCGGAGGCGCGCGCGGCGCTCGCGGCCGCGGCGCCCGCGCGCCCGGAGCCCCCGGGGGAGCCCGCGGTCGCGGCGCGCGGCGCGTCGGCCGCGGAGCTCTGGGGCGCGTCGGACGCGGAGCTCTGGGAGCTCGCCAAGGCAGAGGCGCGCGCGGTCGCCGGCGCGGACGCCGCCGGGGACGCGGCCGCGGACGTCGACGGCGCGCTCTCTCGGTCCTGGCCCGACCTCGTGGCCTTCACGGACCTGCTCACGCGGGAGTCGCTGCTGCGCCTCCGCGTGCTCGGCCCGGCCTTCGCGGAGCCCCTCAAGGCCGAGGTCAAGCTCCGGCGCGACGCGTACCGGGGCTGGCTGGGCCTCGTCGACGGCGAGGGCTTCCTCCCGCCGCCCCCGAGCGACCTCGACTTCGGCGCGAGCCTGCTGGACCCGACGGGCGGCCTGCCCGCCGAGGCGACGGACGAGGCCAAGGCCGCCTTCGCGCGGCTCAAGGAGGACCAGCGCGACGCCGCGCGGGACCGCGCGACGCTGGCCCGCTGGGAGCGGCGCGCGCTGGGGCCCAGCCCCGACTAAGTTCGACGCTGACGGCGCTCGGGCACGCATGCCGTCATCCCCACAAGGTGTAGTTCGGCGCTTACTGCGCGTCCGCGTCGGGCACGCCGGCCTTCATCTCGAAGATGAGCACGGTGCCGTCGCCGGCGACGACGGCGGCCTTGACGGCCGCGGGCGCGCAGGCCGCGATGAGCGCCGACACGTCGGCGACGGGGGGCAGCGCGCCGCCGTAGAGCGCGACGAAGACGAGGAACGACGGCGGCGGCAGGCGCCGCTTCGAGAACTGCGCGGACGGCTGGTGCACCTCCCACGCGACGGGCGGCGGCCCCGCGTCCCCGGCGCGCCAGAGCGCCGGCGCCTCCGCGTCGCCGCCGTCGGCCCGGGCCTGCGCGTGGCGGCGGAACGACGCGTAGCCCAGGCTCCGGAGGTGCGCGTAGACCCAGTAGCAGTGGAGCGGGCACGGCGCGTGCCGCGGCGCCGCCGCGGCCGGCGGCGGCGCGGCGCCCGCCGGCGCGGCGGCCGGCGCTTCGCCCGCCGGCGCGGCGGGCGCGCCGGCGACGCAGACGCCGTAGACCTCGCGCGCGTGGAGCGGCTCCGCGGCGTCCTCGCTCGGGAGCAGCACGAGGAGCGCGCGCTCGCAGAGGTAGAGCGCCTCCTCGCCGAAGAGGCACACGGACCCGTCGATGGACACGCCCATGGTGCGCAGCTGCTTGCCGCGCGTCCGCAGCAGCTTGGCCATGCCGAGGTCCGGGCACCAGACGCCGATGCTCTTGTTGCCGAAGCGCTTGTAGACGTCGTCGTCGCTCGGCGGCGGGTCGAGGCCGTCGTCGGACTCCGCGGCGCCGAGGCCCGGCACGTAGGTCGCGAGGGTCGTCCGCAGGCGCTTGAAGACGGACATGGCGCTGCTCGTGGTGGCGCTAGTGATGCTCGACCATCGCTCTCGCAGAGCTCAACCCGAGGTCAACCTCGACTTCACCGTGCGCGATGGTAGGCCCTCGTGACACCGATGCGCGTCCTCTGAGCATCGCGCGATCGCTCGCGTGCTGCGCGTAAGCCCGCGCAGCCATCTGCTAACGATGCGCCAGCGGAAAAGCCCGCCAAAAATCGCAAGCATGCTGGCATGGCTGCTCCTCCTGGCGCACCACGCCTGCGCGCTCGTGCTCCCACCGAACCCATCGCGCGGCCGCCTCTCGTGCGCCGCCGCCGACGACGACGGCGCCGCGCGGTCGCAGTTCGGCACGAAGCGCTACTGGGACGACATGTACGACGGCCGCGGCGACTTCTCGGGCGAGGAGTACAGCTGGTACTACGGATGGGACGTCGTCGGCCCCGTCTGGGAGCGCTTCGTCCCGGACAGGGCGTCGCGCGTGCTCCTGCCCGGCGCGGGCAACGACCCGACGCTGCGGTCGCTGCACGCCGCCGGCTGGAGGGACCTGCGCGCCGTCGACTACAGCGCCGCGGCCGTCGAGCGGCTCCGGGAGCTGCTCTGGGACCTGGACGTCGACGCGGACGTCGGCGACCTCCGCGGCCTCGCGTTCGAGGCGCGCAGCTTCGACGCGGCGCTGGAGAAGGGCGCGCTCGACGCGGTCTACCTCGCGGGCGACGGCTTCCTCGAGGCCGCGGCCGACGAGCTCTGCCGCGTGCTGCGGCCCGGGGGCACGCTCGTGTCCGTGTCGGGCGTCGTGCCGCCGGGCCTGCGGCGGTCGTGCTTCTCCGAGGACAAATGGGACTGGCTCCGCGACGGCGCGGACGACCTCGCCGCGGGCTGCTTCGTGCTGCGGCGACGGTAATTGCTAAACGGCGTAGAACTTGGCGCTGTCCGCCTCGCGGAGGCGCGCGGCCGCGCCGTCGTCGAGGCGCGCGTCCGCGGCGGCGTCGCCGAGGGCCGCCTCGACCGCGGCGACGTAGGCCGCCGCGCCGTGCCGGTCGAGGAGCGCAGCCACCATCACGAAGCGAATTCTTGAAAGCACTGGTTCAACATGCGCTCGTGAAGTTTCTTTCGCCCCTCCCGGTCGACTCCAAGCAGCAGAGAGTAGGGAACGCACGCGGCGGGGAAGAAGAAGGGAGGGGGCTCAGCACGCGGCGGCCGGCTCCGCGTCGCCGTCGGCCGCGGGCTCCGCGGCCGCGGCGGGCGCCGCGGCCGCGGCCGCCGCCTGGGCCTCGGCCGCCGCCTGGGCCTCGGCCGCCGCCTGGGCCTTGGCCGCGTCGGCGGCCTGCTGCTTCGAGAGCGTGTCCCGGCGGAGCTTCTCGGCCTTCCAGGCCAGGGACTTCATGTTGAAGCAGTAGGTCTGGAACTCGTCCATGTCGACGGACCCGTCGCCGTCCTTGTCGAAGATGCGCACGAGCTGGGCGATCTGGGCGTCGGAGAAGGTGCAGCGGTGCGGGTCCAGCGACGCGAGGCCGCTCTTGAACTCCGAGGGCTCGATGCGGCCGTCGCCGTTCGCGTCGAAGAACTCGAAGATGCGGTCGGCGCTGAGGCCCTTCTCCTTGGCCTGCTTGAGCACCGTGTCCATGGTCTTCCGCACGTCGTCCTCGGCCGTCGACATGCCGTCGGCGCCCTGGATCGCGCCCGCGAGGGCACTGCCGCCGTCCGCGGCCGCCGCGGACATCATCGCCAGGGCCTTCTTCCGCCGCTCCGCCTTGAACTTCTCGGCCTCGACGGCGTCGAGGGGCAACGGGCCGTCGGTCTTGAGGTCCCGCAGCGTGCCCCGCGGCGTGTAGTGGCGCGCGCTGAACTGGCCCCCGTCGGGGCGCGCGCTCACGCGACCGCTCAGGCGCCCGCTCAGCATGCGCCCGGACGTGAGCGGCGTGTGCTGCACGCTCTCCTTCCCCGGCTCGACGGCCTTGTCGAAGCCGGGGATGATCCGGCAGACGCTCACGGGCGACTCCTCGGGCTGCCCCATCTCGGGATGCCCGACGAACAGGCGGTCCCAACTCAGCAAGAACGCGGCCTTTGAAACCCACGCGTGCAGCTTCATGCTCGGATACATGGGCAGCTCGGGAGGCTTGAACCTGGAGTTGATCGTCGAGGTCCGAAACTTGGGCTGCGCTGGCCGAAGCGCGCGACGAATCGAGCCACCGAGAGCTGCGCTGTCCGGCCGTCGTCGCACCGCCATGCTCACCGTGCTCCTCTCCGCGGCCTGCGCCGCGGCGCTCGCGCCGCGGGAATTGCCGACGGCCTGCACGCGGCGCGCCCTCGGCGGCGGCGCCGCCGCCGCGGCGCTCGCCGCGCTCGCCCCGGCGCGCGCCGTCGCCTACGCCAAGCCCGGCGCCGACGGCGACGACGTCGGCGCCGTCGAGACGGCCTACTTCTCCGGCGGCGACGCGAAGCTCCTCGCGCCGGCCTTCGACGCCGTGCTCGGCGTCTTCGCGGCGGAGACGGGCGCCATGGGCGACGGCACGCGCGCGGTCCGCGTCACCTACGACCCGACCGTGGCGTCCTACGGCCGCCTCCTCGGCCAGTTCTGGCGCGCCGTGGACCCGACGCGCGCCGACGGCCAGTTCGACACGGCCGGCGCCGCGTACCGGACGGCCATTTGGCCCACGGACCGGCGCGAGGTCGCGTCGGCGCTGACGTCGAAGCAGCGCCTCGACGAGCTCGGCCTCTTCGGCGACCGCCGCGTCGTCACGGAGGTCGTCGCGCTGCCCTTCTCCGGCGCGAAAGCCTACGGCTTCGTCGAGGACTCTTCGCAGGACTTCGCGAAGAAGAACAAGGCCGAGTACGCGACGCTCCTCGAGGCGTCGGGCCGCAACGACTGGTTCGCGGCGACCTACAAGGGCGGCAAGATGTTCCTGCTCGACGGCGCCGACCCCTGGCCCGCCGGGTCCTTCTCGAGCCTCTAGAGGGCCTACCTTAAAATCGCGTCCGCGGCGGCGAGCGCGTGCCGCGCGGCGCGGACGTCGTGGACGCGGACCACGTCCGCGTGGGGCACCGTCGCCGCGCAGGCGCCGGCCGTCGCGGCGTCGCGCCGCGCCGCGTCGGGCTCGCCCGTCAGGTCGCCCAAGAACCGCTTCCGCGACACGCCCAGCAGGAGCGGCAGGTCGCCCGTCTTCCGTCGCACCTCGCCGAGCCCCCGGAGGAGCTCGACGTTCTGCGCCGTGTCCTTGGCGAAGCCGACGCCCGGGTCCACGAGCACGCGCCAGGGCGCGACGCCCGCGGCCGCCGCGGCCGCCACGCGGTCCCGGAGCTCCGCGGCGACGCCGTCGACGACGCCGCCGGCGTAGACGCGGAGCTCCGGGTCCGCCATCGTGAGCGGCGTGCCCCGCATGTGCATGAGGCACACGCCGCGCTGGTCCGGGTCGTCGGCGAGCGTTTTGAGCATGGCCGGGTCGTGGGACCCGCCGGAGACGTCGTTGGTCAGCGTCGCGCCCGCGGCCCGCGCGGCCGCGGCGACGGCGCCGCGGCGCGTGTCCACCGAGAGCGGCAGGCCCGGGAAGCGCGCGCGCAGCGCCTCGACGACGGGGAGCACGCGCGCGAGCTCCTCCTCGAGGGGCGGTTGCACGGCGCCGGGCCGCGTCGACTCGCCGCCGACGTCGAGGCAGTCCGCGCCGTCGTCGACCATCGCCCCGGCGCGCGCGACGGCCGCGTCGACGGACGCGTGTGCGCCGCCGTCGGAGAACGAGTCGGGCGTCGCGTTCAGGATGCCCATGACGCGCGTGCGGTCGCCCCGGGGCCACGGGTCTTCGGCGTCGAGGGGCGCCCAGACGCGTCGCAGCGTCGCGTCGCGGAGCCACGGCTCCGACAACACGTTGTCGACGAGCGCGACGTCCCTCGCGTCGTAGGGGACGCCGAAGGCGTCGAGCGCGCGCCGCGCGTCCCGCAGGGGCCGCAGCACGAAGTCGCGCCGCGCCGCGCGCGGGTGCGGCACCTCGAGGTCCGCGTCGGCGACCATGGTCGTCCCGTGGAACAGCACGTCGAGGTCGACCTCGCGCGGGCCGTGGCGGCCCCGGTCCTCGCGGCCGAGGGCCGCCTCGACGGCCTTGAGCTCGCGCAGCACGGCGCGGGGCGGCAGCGCCGTCGCGGCGACGACCACGCCGTTGAGGAAGCGCGGCTGGTCGACGACGTGCTGGGGCGCCGTGTCGTAGAGGTGCGACGTCGCGACGATGGCGCCCACGCGCGCCTGCACCTGCTGCCAGGCCCGGCAGGCCGTGGCGACGCGCGGGCCCACGTTGGACCCGACGCCGATGAAGCAGAGCGTCGTCGCCATTGGTGCTAGCAAGCGTCACGGCCGCCGCTCGAGGTCGAACTTCACATTGAACCAGGTTGAAGCTCGCTTGATCATGAAGCTCGCCGCGGGGTCGCCGACGAGCCTCCTGAACGGTGCCCACCCCACCCTCGAGGCCGCCAGCATCCGGATGCTCCCATCCTTGAGCGCAGCTCCTCGCCGCAGCGCCTCGAGGAGCCGCGCGACGGCCGCGTAGTCCGCGTCGCTCCCCAGCCGCGCCTCCGCCGCGCGGATGAGCCGCGTCGCCTCCGGGATGAGCGCGTGCGTCGGCGCGAGGTCCGCGACCAGCGCGTCCGCGATGGCGCAGTCCTTGCGCATGAGGCCCATCTTGAAGCCGAAGCCGAAGTCGCGGCTGAGCGCGCGCTCCGGCAGCCGCCGCGTCGGGACCTCCAGGGAGGCTCGCGCCCGAGCTCTCGAGTTGATGACGTCGAGCGCCGTGGCCGCGTCGACGCCGTACTTTTGCAGCACGAGCGCCGCCTCCGTCGCCAGGAGCACGTGCGCCGTGTTGAGGACGTTGTTCACGCTCTTGACGGCGTCGCCGGAGCCGAGCGCGCCGCGGTGGACCGTCTTCTTCGACCAGCAGCCGACGACGGCGCGCGCGTCCGCGACGTCCGCGTCGCTTCCGCCCATCATCGACGTGAGCGTTCCCGCTTCCGCGCCCGCGGGGCCGCCGGAGACGGGGCTATCGACGAGGCGCGCGCCGCGCTCCCGCAGGCGCGCGCCGAGCGCCGCGGTCCGCGCCGGTTCGCCGGACGTGCAGTCGACGACGAGCGTGTCCCGGAGCGCGTCGCCGCAGCCCAGCAGCGTCTCCTCGACGGCGTCCGTCGTCGACAGGCACAGGCAGACGACGTCGCAGGCCTCCGCGAGCTCGGCGAAGGAGCCGCGGACGTCGGCGCCGCGCGCCGCGGCCCAGGCCTCGGCCTTGGCGCCGTCGCGCGAGGCGACGGCGGCGCGACCGCCGGAGGACGCGGCGAGCCCGTGCAGGTGGCCGGCCATGTGAGTGCCCATGGTGCCGAGGCCGTAGAAGCCGAGCCGCGCCGAGGCGTCGAGCGCCGAGGCGTCGAGCGCGACGGCGAGCAGCAGCAGCGCGAGACGGCACATAGAGAAGCAGCCCATGGTCTCCATCGAGGCAAGGAAGGCTGCTAGGCTAGGAGGGATTACAGCTGGAGGGCCTACCCGAGCGGGAACCAAGCCTAGCCGCGATTGCACGCGACCAGCCGGGCAGCCATCGAGCTCCGAGGGCTGCAAGATGGGGTGCAAGCGAGGCGCCAGGCCGACGTTGGTACGGCTGCTCTGTGTGCAGTCTGGTGCTCGCGCGCGAGGGCGGCTCTGAGGCACTGCGCCAAAACCATGGAGCGCAGCCACCACCAGTGGCTCGAGCAGGTCTTCTTCCGGCAGCACCTGCGGTGCACGCGCGCCGTCATGCGCGCGCTCGGCCCGGCGCCGCGGCGCGTCCTCGAGCACGGCCTGGGCCTCGTGGCGCTGGGCGCCTGCGGCCTCGTGGTCTACCTGCACGGGACCTACGTCGCGCGCACCGGCGCGCCGCTCGCCGTCGAGCTGCGGGCGGCCGCGGCGGCGCTCGGCGCGAACCGGAGCGTCTTCGCCGTGAACGTCGTCGTCTCCGATGGTCCCGGCACGTGCGCCGTCGACGACGCCGCGGACGCGGCGTGCGCGCCGGACGAGGCGAGCTACTGGTTCTCGCGGGACCGCGGCGTCGTCGCCCTCGGCGACGTCGCGCGGCGCGACCTGCGCGTGCCCGCGGCGACGGTGCGCTGCGGGTCGGGCGGCTTCGGCGGCCCGCGGTGGGCGCTCGCCGTCGCCGGCGCGGACGCGGCCGTCGCCAACGCCGCCGTCGCCGCCGTCGGGCCCCGGGGCTACGTGCGCTCGGAGCGGAGCAACGAGTTCTACGACCTCGCGCGCGCGGAGCGCGCGGCGCCCTTCACGCGAGAAGCGCTGGCGCAGGCGCTGACCGTGTCGCTCAAGACGCTCTTCCTCATCTTCGCGACGTCGACGCTCGTGTCCTACACGCTGCGGGAGACGCAGGCGCGCATGCTGCGCTTCGCCTTTGAATTGAAGGAGAACATCGGCGACAACCGCGCGTATCTGTCGCTGGTGGCCTCGCACCTCCTCGACTCCGCGGTCTTCGCGCCGATCATGATCGGCATGATGGCGTTCCTCTTCGAGTTCTTCGCGGACCAGGTGCTGGGCCTCCTCGTGCTGACGCTCGCCTGGGGCGCGGAGCTCTTCGCGGCCGTGTCGCTCCGGAGCCGCCGCGCGCTCGACCACCTGCCGCGGCTCCTCGTGCTCTACCTCGCGGCGCTCCACGTCTACCTCTTCAAGTTCCCCTTCGGCTTCAAGTACGTCGCGCTCCTCGCGGCCATCGCGGCCATCGGCCACGCCATGCTCCTCTTCTGGGACCGCTTCGAGGTGCCCGCGCTGCGCCGCGGCGACGTCTCCGTCACGAACCTCCGCGAGATCCCGCGGCGGCGCCGCCGCGGGGGGGACGGGTAAGGCTCAGAGCGCAGCGCCTAGGAGAAGCCGCGGCGCGCGAGGCAGGCCGCGATGATCGGCTCGAGCTCGGCCGGGACCTTGCCGTCGACGCACTTGTTGACGATGGACCGGCGCCGGCGCGCGAGGAATTCCGCGGCGGCGTTCTTGGCGGCGGCGGTGAAGCGGCCTTCCAATCGCATTGCGATTTGCACGAGCTTCGCGATTTCGCCATTGGCCGCCGCGATCAGGACCTCGTTGTCGACGTTGCCGCTCGCGAGGTCTTGTAGCGCCCTTCGGGCATAAGTGGCGCCTTTGCCGCGGCCGCTCCGCATGAGCGCGACGAGCGGCGCGATAGCGCCGGCCGCGGCGATGGCGACCTTGTTGTCGGCGTTGTTGCGCGCGAGGATTTGCAGCGTGTGCGCGGCCGCCCCCTTGCCGTCAACGCATCCGTCCCGCAGGAGGTCGACAAGAGGCGCGATGCCGCCGGCCGCGGCGATGGCGACCTGGTTGTCGGCGTTGCCGCTCGCGAGGTTGGCCAGCGCCCGCGCGGCCACATCCTTCGCTCCGGCGCTGCCGCTCCGCACGACCTCGACGACAGGCGCGATGCCGCCCGCTGCAGCTATGGCGACCTTGTTGTCGTCGTTCGACGCGAGGTTCGCCAGCGCGCCGGTGGCATTCCCGACGCCCAGACCGCCGCTTTGCAGGAGTTCGACGATCGGCGGTATCGCGCCGGCTCGTGTAATCCAGTTCACATGCTCTTCGCTAGGCGCCCCCCCACGCGGGTGCACGAGTCGCCAGAGCTCCCACGCGGCTTGCGACTTGGCAGCGGCGTCGCCATGCGCAAGGGTGCGCACGTGCCCAGCAATGGCGACCGCGTCGACCATTTCGAAGGCGCGTCCGCGGGTCACATAGGCTGCGCCGGGGCTGCATTTACCATTCAACATCGCCATGTTGCGAGGTCCAAGCATGGCAATCGAAATGACGCGCCGCTGAGCTTCAAAACGTGACCTCAAGACCTTACGCCTCGCACGCCAAAACACCCATGGCCGCCTCAAAACCCGCGCTCAACGGCGCCGCGGAGAGCTGGGCCGGCGCCGCCAATTGGAAGGACCTCGACGAGAGCGTCGTCGACCCCATCACCCTCGAGCCCATCGCCGACCTCGCCGTGGCGCCGTTCCGCCTCAAGGGCTTCCTCTTCGACGCCGAGGCCCTGGCCTGCTACCTCGTGGCGAGCTCGCGCTACGAGAACCCGCTCGACCGCTCCGCGCTGACGGCGCAGGAGTGCGCCGCGCTCGACGGCCACCTCGCGGCGCACGGCCTGCGGGCCATGCGCGTCGCCCAGGAGCGCGTCGCCGCGGAGAAGCGCAAGGCCAAGGCGGCGTCCGAGGCCGAGGCGCGCGCGGCCGAGGCCGAGGAGCGCCGCGCGGCCGCCGCGCAGCAGACCGCCGCCGATCTGCTCGACGCCCTCTTCGCGACGCGGCGGCCGAACCCCGCGCGCCGCGCGCCCGCGCGCGGCCGCCGGTCGCCGGCCCCCGACGCGACGCGCCGGCGCCGCGGCGGCGGCATGGTCATGATCGACGACGACGAGCTGCCGCCGGACGTGCTGCGCGACGCGGAGACGCGCGACGACGACGAGAGCTTCTGGCGCGAGGAGGCCGCGGAGGCCTTCCCCGCGCTCCCCGCGGCGCCGCCGCGGCCCGCGGCGGCGACCTGGGGCCGGCCGGTGCCGCCGAGCGCCGCGCCGTCGCGCGACGACGCGCGCGCGTTCCCGGAATGGGAGTCGACGATCCGAGAAACGAAGGCGCGCGACGCCGCGGCCCGGGAGCGGAAGCGCGCCGCGCGCGCCGCGGCCCGGGAGGCCGACGACGCGGCCAAGGTCGCGGCGGCGCAGGCGCTCCTGGCCGAGGACCATACGCCCGACGGCGACGCCATCCTCCGCAAGGCCGCCGTCGTCGAGCGTCTCGGCGCGGACTTCCGCCGGCGAAGAAAAATCGAGGACGCGCGGGCGCTCTGGTCCGAGGACCTGCTGGCCTGGGCGCGGAGCGACCCGCGGCGCGTGCGCGCCGTCGAGTACGAGCTCGAGGCGCTGTTGAAGAGCCGCCAGAGCTCGCGGTGCCTCCGGCCGATGCGAAGGGAGTTCCGGAAGAAGGCGCACGCGGTCTGCGAGCGCTACAATTGCCACACCATCTCCTACGAGCGGAGCCCCGAGCGCTACGTGCGCATCCTCAAGGCGCCGCGGCCCGCGGCGCCCGACCTGGCGCCGTCGACGCCGGCCGTCGCGCTCTCGGAGGCCGCGGCGCTCGTGCCGGCGCCGCCGCGGCCGCCGCCGCCGCCGCCGAAGCCGCCGAAGCCGGCGAGGGCGAAGAGGGAGAAGCCGCCGCCGCCGCCGCCGCCGCCGCCGGAGCCGACGGAGGCCGAGCGGCGCGCGGCGGACGAGGAGGCCCAGCTCGCGGAGGCCATCCGCCGGTCCATGCTCCCGGATCCGCCGCCGCGCGCCGAGCCGCCGGCGCCCGCGGCGGACGCGCTGCCGAGCTACGACGAGTACGTCGGCGTCGCGCCCGCGCCGGCGGCTTTGCCGACCGTCGCGGACCTCCTCGCCGTCGTCGGCCTCGAGCGCCTCGCCGACGTCTTCGCCATGGAGGAGGTCCGGGACCTGCCCGCGGTCGCGGGGCTCACGGACGACGAGTTCCGGGAGCTCGGCGTCGAAGAGGCCTGGGCCATGGCCGCGCTCCGCGACTCGGCCGCCGCGGCGATCCGATAAGTCGGCTTCTGAAGCGGTGTTTTTACGGGGTGGGCGATGGGGCTCTCGATCTAGTTGAACTGGACGGCGTCCTGCTCCTTGAGCTCGCGCGTGACGAGCTGGTCGAAGGTGTAGCCGCCGCCGAAGGCGATGGCCGTGTCGCCGCGGCAGCCGACGGGCTTCTTGGGCGCCGCGTCCGCGGCCGCGTCGATGACGTGCTGCTGGACCTCCTTGAGGCCCGGCGCGTCCGCGCCGACGGCGCGCGCGGAGACGACCTCCGCGGCGAGCTTCCCCGCGAGGATGGCGCCCTCCATGGAGCCGAGGAACTTCTGGGACGTGAAGCAGCCGCAGAGGGAGAAGTTGGGGATGGGCGTCTTTTGCGAGGGCCGGTACTTGTTGCGGCCGGGGATCGCCGCGTAGACGGACCGCGGCACCTTGACGACCGTCGACTTGCGGAGCTTCGCGCCGCCCGTGAGCTGGGCCTGCTTCTCGCCGAGGAAGGTCCGCTCGGTCATCGTGCCCGGGTACGCCGGGTCCGCGGCGATCTCCGTCGGGAAGAGCCGCGCCAATTCGCCCATCGTCGCCTGGATGATGTCCTCGTCGGTCTTGCCGATCCAGTTCGTGTCGCCGCCGGCGAGGGGCGAGCAGGGCGCGAAGACGAGCTCGAGCATGGACTTGTCCTCGTCGTAGTACTCTTTACAGGTCGTGGACATGTCCGCGTAGACGGACAGGAGCGGCGACCGCGAGAAGCAGAGGTGGTCGATGGTCGTGAGCTTCTCGTCGAACCAGAGGTGGAGGTTGATCACCGGGATGCCCTCGAGTTCGTCGAGCTGCTTGAAGTAGGGCATCGTCGACCAGGCCTCGGGCACCATGCGCTTCAACACGTCCACGGGCATCGCGGACACGTACTCGTCCGCGACGACCTCCTCGCCGGACCGCAGCACGAGCTTGTCGACGTTGCCCGCCGCGTCGACCTCGATGCGGTCCAGGGGCGCGCCCGTGACGACCCTGCCGCCCTTCTTCTCGACGGACTCGACCATGGGCGCGCAGAGCCGGTCGGGCTGGTTGCCGTCGAGGAACGCCATCTGGAGGCCGTTGTCCTCGTTGAGGAAGCGGTTCATGGCCGTCAAGACGACGGTCATGCTAAGCTTGTCCGGGTCGATAAAGTCGAGCGCCTTGGCCATGGAGATGAAGACCTCGTCGTTGATGCGGTCGGGCATGCCGTACTTGCGCATGAAGTCGAGCACGGACAGCTCGTCCTGGGCGTTGATGAAGTCCTGGCCCTCGATGAGCATGGGCAGCAACGGCGGCGCCGTCTGGAGCTTCTCGCCGAGCGTGAGCATCTTCTGGTTCAGGAGGATCGCGAGGCCGAAGTTGAAGGGCGCGGGGATGCCGGGGATGAAGTCGAAGGTCGTGAACTCGCCGGGCAGCTCCTGCATGGCGAAGACCATCTTGTGCACCTTCCACTGGAGCCGGTCCTCGATGCCGAGCTCGAGAAGAGGCGCATCA